CTAATTTTTGTATTTTTAGTAGAGAAGAGATTTCACCATGTTGGCCAGGCTGGTCTTGAACTCCTGACCTCAAGTAATCTGCCTGTCTCAGCCTCCCAATGTGCTAGGATTACACGCGTGAGTCATTGCGCCTGGCCAATTATCTTTAAAAATGGAAATCACCCAGGTAGTCAGAAGGCTGGGATAAGAGGATTGCTTGAACGCAGCTTGGGCTACATAGGAAGATCATGTCTTCTAAAGGTCAACAACAACAACAAACAAACTGGAAAACTGAACATGTAATTCCATTGCTCAAGTCTAGTGGCTCCTCACTCCAGAATATAACCTTATTTTTTATTGTGACCTAAAAGACCTTTTTAGTGGAATGGCGTGAACCCGGGAGGCGGAGCTTGCAGTGAGCCGAGATCGTGCCACTGCACTGCAGCCTGGGAGACAGAGCAAGACTGTGTCTCTACATGGTTACTTGCCTGGCTGCACTGGTTTCCTCCCTATTCCTGGAACATGCCAAGTCCTTTTCTGCCTCTTTTAGTCCTTTTCACCTGCTGTTCCCTCTGCAAAGAGGGCACTTCCCCCAGTCTGGTTCCTTTTTATTCAGGAATCAATTCAGTTCCCCCTAGTTAGTGAGGCCTCTCTGACACCCTACTAATGTGTGAACCCACTGCCAGCCCTTCTCGTTCATAGGATGCTGTGTATATTCGTCCTACCACTGATCACATGGAGATGTGCTGTTTCCATTTATTTGTTTCTCTTTCCCCCGAAGTGAAAGCTCAATGAGGCATCAGCTTTTTCTAGCTTGTCAAGGATTATCAAATCTTTGATACCCAAAACAGTGTCAGCACATGGTAGGACATGATAAATATTTGTGGAATGATAGAAGAATCATTTTTTAGGAAAGTTACCACTAGTGTAAATGGATGACTCATATATCAATAATTTGGTTTTGATCTGTGGATAAAAAGATATAATTGCTGGCACAAAGCATATTTTGTGCAGAAAGCCCCTACTTGCAAATGAACAGGAAAAGTTGAACTATCCAGAAAAACTTCTGTATTTGTTTCTTTTTCTCCCTTGAAGTTTGTGCAATAGTGTTGTTTCTGTTGAACATCAGATTTATGAAAAAAATGAATTATTTGGAAAGATTTAGAGATTAAAGTGTGGTTGTCACCTTTGCCTCTGAAAGCAAGCACTTGGATGCTACCACTCCATCAGCACTTGTCAGGACAGCCATAGAACAAAATGATTAAAAACAGAGACAAAAGTCTGGGAATAAAATGCATGCAGTTCCAGAGTTTCAGAGGCTTCAAATTGTCAGTTCAGGTTTTCAAGATTTGAAGTTTTTCTAGCCTCTGGTTATGAAGACTGATCTGTATTTTTCTTTTTTTTTTTTCCTTTTCAGTTTAGTGTTCATGAAAAGAAAGATGGATTGCTTTTGTTGAGCCTAAGCACAGAGTTGAATAATAGCATCCTGATTTTGTTTTCCCTTTTCCCACCTCGACCATATTTTTTCCCTTGATATCTTACCTTGATTTGTTTACACAGTATTCGATTTTTAAAAAGAAAGTGGTTGTTTTGGATTACTAGAAATTATATTTCTGTCTGTTTATATTTAACTTTGTGGATTAACATTGAGGAATTTTGAAGATCTTTTGTTCTGTGAAAGCCTAGATTGTATAGCTTAAACATGTTTTTCCAAGGCTAAAACACATGTCTTTTAAATGAAAAAGATTACTAACATATATTACTGTTCGTAGTGGGTGTTGAATACTATTAATTTAGGAAATTTCTCATCATGAAACAAATTCATAGTTTCAAAAAAATAACAGTTTTGCCTTAACTACCTCAGATGTATTGTATACATATGTATTAGAAGGTATGACTTCTTTACCCTAATACATTTTTGAGATGAATGTATATAGTTCAAGCATTTAACAGATACAGTGAGTAACTGTGTGCAGGCGCTAAGAGGGCGGCTTCCAGAACCCACCTGCCAGTGAGGTTAAAACAGCAACTTTCAGAACCCAATTGCCTGGGGTTCCTTCCCCAACTCTGATGCTAAGTACTTAATGTGACCTCAGGAATGTCGATTAACCTGTTATGTGCCAGTGAAAAAGGTACAAGGAAGGGGCATAATATAACTGACATAACTGGGTTGTTCTGAGGATTCAATGAGTTAAAGCATGTAAAATGTGTAGAACAGTGCATGGCACATAAATATGATGATGATGATGAAGAGGAGCACTGAAGAGCTTATGTTTAAGCACAGTTGCCCCTGACTTCCAGTTAGCCTTTGAGTTTAGGTATGTTGTCCTGTGGGCTGTAGCCGACATTTACGGTATCCAACTATATTATGTCTATCATTCCATGGTAGCATTTCAGTTGGTCACCTCTGGGGAATTCTTTACCTGTGCTTGGGTAAATCCTGTAGTAATGTTTTTCTTCACTGATCTCAACATGAAGATTGAATAGAAAGAATGAATAACCCCTCTTGCCAGTCCACTAAATTTACTTGCATCCTATAAGCTCCTATTTATGGAACAGCTGAGGCCTGAGTGTCATTCATTCTGTGGTCACAGTTTTATGTTGGTAAACAGCTTCCTTTAACAATTAAAATGACTTGTGGAGCAAAGAGGGTTTCAAGGAGGGTACTGACATTTCTCAAAGTCAGATTTAGGAGTGAATATCTAAATTAGCCAGGCAGACCAGCATCATACAACATAATCTTGCTGAACCTTTTCATTGCTTCCCATATCAATGGGAATGTCACGATTTCCTGCCACAGCTTCATTATTATAAATCCTCAAAGACAATATGTGTGCCTGCCTTGTCTGACTTCTAGCCCATTTCACTTACAAAAATAAAGCTAAGAAATGGTTACAGAAATGAGAAAGCTACAGGACTAACTCTCCTCAAGCTTATAATTCTAACTGAAAATGAGTTTGTACATACCATTTTAAAGAGATGTGTCATTTGTTTCCCATTAGAATTTACATAATGAGATTCTGCAGTCACATTTATGTTATGCTTAATTCATTTGGCACTGTTTGTTTAAGACCTTGGAATGGCTCCCACTTGTCTAAGTGAGAGAGGCACAAACTCCTGAACACCTGTCAAGTGAGACTGTTGGGGTCTGGCCTCTGCCGTGAACCTGCAATCTTGTTTCCCATTTCCCAACTTCACATGTAATCTGATTCTCTGGGCACATAGGGTTTCTGCAGTTTGACCTTTCTATGACTTTCTTCCTACTGTTCTTTCCTGATGCTATGGAAGGATTGTGGCTCTGAATGCTTTTTTTGCTACTTTAGAAACATGCCTCCTAAATTATGAGGGATTATTTTATAGACTTTTTTTTCTTTGCAGTTTTTTTTTTTTTTTAATCACTTCAATATGAGGGGTGGCTTACCTCCTTGAATGCTTCTAATCTACTAAAGAGACAACCTGCTGGTTATCATTTTGAACGCGTCTCCCCTTTCATTGGATTGCAAGCTGCCTGAGAACAGGGGTGGATCTCCTAATCTATGACAGTGATTAACTATGCACTGAATAATTGTGCATTTTTTATTTATTCTCTTATGAGGATTCTTCTAGACATCTGAGTGCATTGCTTTGAAATTACTTCCAAACTCCCTTTGATTAGTATTTTGACTTTATCTTTTCTTATATTTTAGAAACTCACAATGAATGTTCATTTAAAAATTGTGGCTTTTCACGATTTTTAACTGTGCAGGACGTACACTGTGACTCAGGATTTGAGGGCCCTGGAATTATATATCACTTTGACCAGGAATTGCTTTGGTCTCTGTTAGTTTTCTTTTCCAGTGCCCATAAAAGATTCGTTTATGCTATTTGCTTCTGCCAGTTATGATTGGACTTCCCATTTGGTAATTCATTTTCAGAGTACTGTGTCCTATCTAGCTCTTTAGGTGTCACCATTTTGATTGTTACTCCTTGTAATTGTTTTTTGAAGCCAAATACATTGTCTTGTTTTCTTTCATGTCACCCCCACACCCACCTAAGATTCTGATCATATGCTAAAGGAAAAATTTGAAATTAGTTTAATATATTCTTAAGCTTTTAAATTAGTTTGACTAATAATTTGAGACTTACAGAAAAGTTCTAAGAATAGTGCAAATAATTCTCATATACCTTTTGCCCAGATGTATCAATTATTAACATTTTACATTTGCTGTATTTTTCTTTCTGTGTATGTGTGTATATATGCCTATGTGTAATACACATACATATGTATCATGTATGTATATACAGGTACATATTTATCTCATACTTTCTTTATATGCACACTTAAAAGTAAGTTGCAGACATGACACCTCTTTACCTTTAGTAGTTCAGTATGTATTTCTTTAGAAGAAGGGCATTTATAAATAATACCCTAAAGTAACCACAGAACAGTAATCCAACTTCAGAAATTATCTAATATATAGACTTTCTTCATTATATCAAATATATAGACCTTAGTAGTCTTAGTGTCTGTAGATCAAATCTATATTTTAGGTGATGGTCTGATTTAGCCTGCAGGTGGTAGTGTGCTGACTTCCGTATAAGATGAATTTGAAATCTTCTGAACAAGCATTAAGGGCCCTGCAGATTCTGACCCTTCTTCTTTTGCATACCTACCATAAGCTGCAGTCTCACTTTTTATGCTACATTTTTTTTTTCCTTTTAATACTCTGTACAGACATTTCATTCTCTGCAGCTTCAGAGTTGTTTTTCAACAACCTCTTTATGGCTCTGCCTTCTCTGGTCATCAATGTCACAGCCATTTTTGTTTTATACATTCCTTGCTACTAGATTGTAAATTCTTTGGAGAGCAGAGAATATGACAACTTTATATCCCACGCAGCAATGTCATATACTTTATGTGAAATAGGCAATTAATAAATGTATTTACTTGCATCCAACCATTATTTAGAAGCATGTATTTGTTTTTAAAATTAGATTCGTGATTAGCTCAATTTGTTATTTGTTTTGTTTCAAATTCTTAGAGACAAATAAAAAATGGTGTGTTTTGGAAGGAGGCTTCTTGAGTTACTATGAAAGTGATAAGTCTACCACACCTAATGGCACCATTAATATCAATGAAGTTATCTGCCTGGCTATACACAAAGAGGACTTCTATTTAAATACTGGGTAAGTCTATCTTTACACAATTAGGGGATAAAATGTATTTTCAGATAATTATACCGGCTAATGAGAGTTTTGTTATTTTAGTTCTTTAGTTGCTTCTAATAGAAGGGTTGAATGGTTTTTGAAGCTTACTTACCTTGCACTTTTGGAAATTTCTTTTGGGAATTCACTATAAAGCAGGAAAACTAAAATATTTACAGTAGGTAATATGAAGTGCTAGCATGTTTGAATCAAATCTTTATGTATTTTTTTTTTTGAGATGGAGTCTCACTCTGTCACCCAGACTGGAGTGCAGTGGCGTGATCTCGGCTCACTGCAACCTCCGCCTCCTGGGTTCAAATGATTCTCATGTCTCAGCCTCCTGAGTAACTGAGATTGCACATGCCACCACACCTAGTTAATTTTTATATTTTTAGTAGAGATGGGGTTACACCATATTGATCAGGCTGGTCTCAAACTCCTGACCTCAAGTGATCTGCCCATCTTGACCTCCCAAAGTACTGGGATTACAAGTGTGAGCCGCTGTGCCTGGCCAAATCTTATGTAAATGTATAGCATATCATTTATGACCATTGTAGTCATTTAATTTTTTTACTTATTATTTAAAATAGTGTACTAGTGGTAAAATTCATTTATCCATTTAATGAGTATCATAATTAAAACAGATAAGAAAGAAGAATATTCTGTGACGATATATTCACATTAAAATAAACTATTTAATAGTATATTGAAATGCTAAATTTCTTAAAGATATATTTGTTAATTTAATGATCAGAAAAAGTCACAATGAATAGATTAAGCATTATTTATGTAATATATTTGACTCACCTATACTATAGTTTAAATAAATCTCCGTGAAGACTTTAAAAGCAGGCCCCTAAGATCTTTGGTGTGAAAGTATCTTATCATGTTTTTTGATGTAATTAATGAAAAACATTGACATTAAAATCTGAAAAAATTCAGTTTTATAGGAGCATAGATTTTAAATAAGATTTTTATATGAGAAAGGGAAGAGATTTGCAAAGCTCTTATTTACATAAAACTACATTGAACATATTACCTTTATTTTATGATGACTAATTGAGATGACTTGTTTTCTAGTAAATCTGATTTGATTTATGATGTGAACAAAACTGATTACTAATTGACTTTTGTTTTAATCTTAATAGTGTTTTACCCTAAATGATTATTCAATGTAATATGACTTATGGAATGTTAAAATAAGTGGATTCTATATATTAAATTACTAATTAGTAAATGAAATATAACAAATATAATTAATACTAGTTTATGTCAGTATATTAATATGTTAAAAATAAAATATTCTTGATAACATATACTAATACAAGTAGATATGCAAAGAGAAAGTATCTACAATGAGATGCGGTTAAAAAATAATTGTTGCCATAATATTCTTGCTGAATTGCCTCAAATAGCACATTGGAGAGTATGACCTCAATAATGTAGGCACTGAAGAGTTATATAGACATATTTTAGGAAGAGAGCTGGAAGAAGTGGTAAGGAGATTGGAGGAAGAGAGACTGTAATTGTTGAGAATTTAACTAGAGGAAGAGAGTGAACTGATAAGATTAAAAGACTGACTGGACGAAGAGTTGATGTTAAGTGGAAGAATAAGTTACACTCAAGGGTTTTGAGCTTGTTGTGATGAGGTTGATTGTGATGCTTCTAAATTAGGACGTGAAGGAGATACAGCAGGCTTGGGATGGAAAAGAGGAGAAAGGAAGATGACTTTGGCATAGGGTATTTTGAGATTTTTAGGTAACAGTAGCACACATACTTAGCGTGTGCTAAGAAATAAATGGAGTTGTGAATGAGGAACTCAGGAAAGAATTCAGAGCATGGTATGTTGCTTTAATGTTATCTATAGTAAGAGTTAGAAATTTGGGGTAAGTTGAGATGATGAAAGGAACATTTATCTTTCTTACGAAAACTGTAAGAGAGTGTTAATGCTTCATGTGTTTGTGTTCTGGAGGGAACCTGCTGTATGACTGGGCCTATTGGAAATTAGACAAGAAGAGTATTAAAAACTGTTTGGGAAATGTTTGCTTTGAACAGTTGGTCAGAGTAAATCAAGAAGGAGTGGTGAGAGAGGGAAGACCAGACCAAGGAGAGCCCTTTGCTACATCAGTCAACTGATGAGTGTCCAGGGCGTAAACAAAGTTACACAATAGAATGATTAAGTGATTATACAAAATATTCCTTTTGTCCAGTCCAGTGTGTTCCATTTACCTCATCTGAATAAAATGCAAACCATTAACAGAATCTGATAGGATGATTTCACAGCATTACTTTATTTTAAAAGGCATTTAATTAAAAACTTGACCTGTGTGCTGTTTGTTTTCTTAGGAGCCAAACGTAACTGGTAGTATCTTTTTATTTGTGCATGTTTTAGGCCCATCTTTATCTTTGAGATCTACCTACCCTCAGAACGTGTGTTTTTATTTGGAGCTGAAACATCTCAAGCTCAAAGAAAATGGACAGAGGCAATAGCCAAGGTATTTAAATATTATGTTATTGCTCTAAATCCAGACAAGATTCTGAACTGGGAGTCTGCGTTTGAGCTTCAGGGGTCCATGAAAGTTTCATATAAGATTATAGGAATGAAGTTCATACTTCATTAGATTTTCAAAGAAAGTTGTCAAAAGAAGTAGCTACCTTCAGGACCCTTAAGCAGGGAAGAAATTAAAGTAAAATTTGGAGAAATAATTATTCAAATTAAGGCCATGTTTTTGATGGTTAGGATATTCTCAATATTGTAAAGTCATTTCTGTGTGTGTCTTTTTATAGGTAGATATTTTATTCAAGGTATACACAAAGGAGAAAGGAGCAGATTCAGGAAAATATATACATGGAGAAAAATGCTGAAGGTTGACATTTTGAAAAGTTCTACAAATCACTCAAGAGAATGTCTTGCGGTTTCAACTCTGTTGCAAGACATGTGGTTTAAGATGCTGCCATTTGAAAATACATTATAGTTGTTCAGTTTTAAGACTGATAGCAAGTTAAATTGTTTTGAATTTGGTGTTACCTTTGAATCTTTAAAATAGAAAAACTAAGATAATTTGTCTACCTTCTCTCATATCTCTAGATAGGGAAGGGATTTCCTATTTTCACTGTCTTTATTACTTTTTTGTATTTGTTTTAACAGCATTTTGTTCCCTTATTTGCTGAAAACTTAACAGAAGCTGACTATGATTTGATTGGTCAACTCTTCTACAAAGACTGCCATGCCCTGGATCAGTGGAGAAAAGGCTGGTTTGCTATGGACAAATCCAGTTTGCATTTTTGCCTTCAAATGCAAGAAGTTCAGGGAGATAGAATGCACTTAAGAAGACTGCAGGAGCTAAGTAAGAGTTTTTTTCCTCCCTTATCTTTGGAACACTTTTCTTTGTTGCATACAATAGTGGTAGCCTTTAGTAAAATCTTGATGGCTCACTCCCAAACTTATGACTAAGCAGTATTAATATTTGTGTCTTCATGGATGTTTATTGTAGGGTTTTAAAAAAAATAAGTTTTTGCTTTTTGTTCTCCCTTCAGCAATCAGCACAATGGTTCAAAATGGGGAAAAACTGGATGTCTTACTCTTGGTAGAAAAAGGGAGGTAAGTGCCTTTTTGCTTTTTGTTCTTTGTCTCAACAACTCTGGGCAGTGGGATTGTTTTGTTGTTATTATCTTGAGGGAGAAAATAATATTTTAAAACCTGTTGAAATTTTCTGAATCATATAAACATACATATATATACTATATAGTCTTTGGAAAGACTATACCAATGATATTTACATATTTTTATAATTTTTATGACAGACTTATTGTGATCAATTATTGTATAGTTTTCTATAGACCTAGATTCCTCTGTGACATTTACATTTAAGTATTTGGAAAGCAGTTTGGTAATTATAAATGTATCTTCCTGGTAAGAATATGATGACTATAAATTGTATTCTGAATTATCTATAGCGTATGGGTCACGCATAGCTAAAATTTGATCTCTTGAATTTATTCAGTTTTTTCAGTAACTAGTAAGCATCTACTGTGCATCAGGGACTGTTAAAGGTATTGGTGATATCATGATGAATAAAACAGACTAGTCCCTACCATCATGAAACATGTATACTATTAGGGAAAACAGTGTAAGCAGACAAAAATAATTATATGCTGTTCTGTCCATCAATTTTAAATTCTACGCAGAAAAATAAGTAATATAAAAATAGTCTGATGGGATAGTATCTGTGTTTGCTAGCTAAGAGAAGAAATATTGGATGAAAGATCTTCATAAAGTGAAAAAGTAAACTTTGCAGTAATCCAGATAGAGTATTTCAGGTGTAGGGCCAAGGGTATTTGAAGACTCTAAGAGTGTGTTGTACTTGGCATGTCCAAGTTCTGCAAGGAAGCTGTGGTGGCTGGGAATATTTGAATGAAAGAGAGAGTGGGAAGAAACGATTTCAGAGATACCCACAACCTTATCATATAGGACCTTATCAGTCATGATGTGTAAAGATTTGAAATTTAATCAAATTATGATGGGAAGCTGCTCAGTCTGAGAGCTGGGAAGTAGAATGGTCTGATTTATGTTTTTACTGGATTACTCTGACTCCAGATGAACAAGCTTCTGGGGGATGAAAGTGAAAGTGGGTGTTTAGTGAGGATGCTGGCTGGGAAAGCAATGGCTTATCTGAGAATAGGAGTGGTTGGATATATCGTGAAGGTAGAGGTGTCAGGATCTGTTGATGGATTAGATAACTGTAAGAGTCAAGGATGATGCCAGAATTCTTGACCTGAGCAATTACTGAATTATGGTGCTGTTTTTTGAGAGAACAAATACTTGGAGCATAGAGGTAGGATATTCGTAAGTTTAAGACAGTAGATCAAGAATTTGGTTTTGGGAATGATAACTCGGAGATGTCTCTTTGGTGGCAAAGTGGATCTGGTGAGTAAGCAGTTGAATATGCATGTCTAGAATTAAGTGAAGAGGTTATATCTGGAGATATAAATTTGGGAGTCACCACTGTGCTCATGCTATTTTGCTAAGGAACTGGACAGGTTCACTTAGTAGAGAGTGTGGATAGAAAAGAGAGTTGAAGATATAGCCGGAGGTCCTCCAATATGTAAAGGTCTAGAAGAGGAGATAATCAAGCAAAGAAGCCTGGGAAGGAGCAGCCGGGGACATACCAGAGCAATTAGGAAGACAATTTCTTTTATTTTTAATTTTGGATTCAAGGGGCACATATCTACATATGTGCAGGTTTGTTACATGGATATATTGTGTAGTGCTAGGGTTTGGGCTTCTATTGAGCCCATCACCCAAGTAGTGACCATAGTACCCAATAGGTAGTTTTTCAGCCCTTGCCCCCTTCGGTCCCCACTTTTGGAGTCCTCAGTGTCTATTATTTCCATCTCTATTTCCGTATATACTCATTATTTATCTCACACTTATAAGTGACCACATGCAGTATTTGATTTTCTGTTTCTGTGTTAATTCACTTAGGATAAGGACCTTCAGCTGCATCCATGTTGCTGCAAAGGACTTGACTTCATTCCTTTTTTATGGCTATGTAGTATTCCATGGTATATATGACCACATTTTCCTTAGCCTGTCAACCACTGATCGGTACTTGAGTTGATTCCACATCTTTACTCTTGTGAATAGTGCTGTGATAAACATATGGGTTCAGGTGTCTTTTTGGTAGAACCATTTTTTTTTTCCTTTGGATAGATACCTAGTAGAGGGATTGCTGGATCGAATGGTAGTTCTATTTGTAGTTCTTTGGAAAATCTTCAAACTGCCTTTCTTCTTCAACAAATTAGGTATTTTTTCCCCTTGGCTTCTTGTAATTTGCTTTAGAAAAAAAAAAAAAAACTCTTAATTATACTGGTTCAGTATGGTTTGCTTTATAATAGTGCAAGATTATTTGTATTCTTACAAAAAAGTGAGCTAGAGAAAAGAAAACGCTATTAAAATCATAGGATAAAACATATTTACTACTCATTAAGTGGAATTAGATCATCATGAAAGTATTCATCAGTGTCTTTATATGTGTAGGCTGAGGAGGGGTTGATCATGCTGTCTCGGGGGGTGGCAGAGACAAAAGAAAAATCTGTATGAAGGAATCTGTGCAGTTCAATCTTACGTTGTTCAAAGTTTAACTGCAATATTAAAATATAGCTAAATAAGCCTTCATTTGATTATTTTTATTGCTGTGACAAGGATAATGACTTTCAATGGTTTTCGGAACCTGCCTTTCCTTCAACTTCGCAGGACGACATCAAGAGCTTTATACAGCAAGAATATTACTGATTAGATATTTATGTCAGATTGTGTTTGTTAACTTCTAGGCATAATTAGGACTTTGCATTTTTACTTATTTCTTGGATTATTATGGTTAATGATACTTTATATTCTTATTTTTGGTACCAGATGATGATTTCACTGTACTGTCAGAGTATTGTTAATTTTTTGTCCAGAAATAATGAGGAATTATTAGGTATAGATAGGATTTGACATTAAAATACTAGCATAAATGCAGTTTTACAGTCATTTATTAATATTTATGGAATGCTTACTGACTGCCACTTCCATGGCAGGAAAATAAAAAAGGTAAACAACATAAACTTGGTGTCTGACCCCTCAGAGCTTATGTTCAAACAGATAGGCAAGCATCAGCTTGGCAAATGTGTTTATCCTTTTCATTTTTTCAGGTTATTATAGCCAAAGTATTTTTGTACCATTTTTTTAATCTATGAAGGATTTGACCAGTGGTACATAGGTTTGAATTAAAATGTAGCAAACATGGATTAGAATGATTTAGTTTGATGAAATTCTATTTAGTGCTTACTGCACACAGTCCACCCCCTCACAAATGCAAGATATGGAAGCCAGAGGACTAAATGTTTTGTTATTTTGTACGTTTTGATCTTACCCTGTACTGTAGAAATCAGGAGATGAAATTCATTTGTAATATTATTTTTGAGTTCATGGAAAAGTAGAAGACTAATGAATTCCAAAATAATGGTCACAGACACTTAGTAACATTTTTGGTAATTGAAAGTTTTTGTCTACATGTGTTACTAACAAGTTATGTTGAAAGTATTTTTATGAAAGTGAAGAGTAATAGGAGTGGGAGAAACGTGAGGATAAATATAACCAAGTTATTTTCCTTAAATCTCTTCGCATTTCTAATGTACCATACCCACCACTTAAATGCACCTATATTATCACATACTTCTGTCTTTGGTTTACTTGCTTTTCCTTTTTACTCCAAATCAATATCATCTGATAGTAACAATGATGACAGTGGGGCAGTTACCATGTGCCAAGCCCCATTTTAAGTACTTAAATAGCCTTCTTTTGCCTATATGATATTGAGGAGAATGGTTCATTTTAAAGTTAAGGTCATTGTGTAACTTAAATTTTTTTTTAAAAAAGTGTTCAATATTCATTTACCAATATCTTTGTAAAGATATTTCTCAGGATTTAAATAAACCATAGAGTCTGGATAGACACTATGAGTTACTAGAATTCAAAATTTAAGCATTTATTAGAAAAATAAAAATGTTTACTAGAAAACATTTTTATAAAATTGTTAGAAAACATGTCCATACAATTCCTACCTAATTGAAAATGAAGTAGAGAGAAGGGAGGTCAACATCATGCATAAAAGTAAAGAATCTGCACAGTAGATGACAAGAACATGAGGTTATGAACCCTGACAGAGCAAAGACCATACATACGTGGCAGGCACAGCACCCTGTATGGTGCAAAACAGGGTCTCATATTTATGTATCTACTTATTTACATAGACATATAAACATATGTGTGTGTATTCTGTGACTACATAGACATCATATAGGGAATGATGGAAAAAGGAGCAGGTTTGGGAGAGAGCCTGGGAGATAATGAGTTTAAGACATGTTGAGCATGAGATTTCTTATAAGTCATCTAAGAATAAATTGATGGGAGAAAGTTATTTTTATGGATAAGATATTCATGAAAAGATTAAGAGGTTGGAAATACAGATATTGGAGTTATCAGTGTGAAGAAGGAAGAAGGTGAAATTACTTAGGGTGATTCTATGGAAGGAGAGAGGAAGAAATCCTATGTTGGAGCTTTGATGACTATACATCATTTTTAGGGGAATTTGTCAGGCAGTAGTAGCTGCTTGTTTACTCAGAGAGTGAGGCCAGAAACTAAGAGAGAGTACAAAGTGTTGTAAAGCCCAGGAAGAGAGTGTCTCAAAAAGGAAGGATCAGTTAAAAATGTCAAGTGCTGATACAAGGACATGCCCAGTGAGAATAAACACTCCATGAGATAAATGATTTGGAGTCCATCTGGTGACTTGGGGCAGAGCAGAAGTGAACAGGCAGGTACTAGATCAGATTAAGAATGGGAACTTAGTAAAGTGAGATAGCTGGTGAGGTCACTTTGTCAAGATGTCTGGAGGGAGGTTCATAGGATTAACTAGGTAAGGGATTTGACCCAGAAAGGGCATATATGTGCAGTTTGTTTTCAGATGGCTTGAACTTGTACACGTATAAATTTTGATGGAAAAGAAACATAAAATGGGAGGGATTGAAGGTCTAAGAGAGAGTACAAGCAAGAGAGCA